GAAGGAGAACTGGCTTGGTGAGGGGGCTGCAGGTCCTCCCTCTGGAATGCTGATGAGGGGAGGGGCTCATGCTGCAAAGGCAGGGCCAGCCCCGGGCCTGGGCAGAGACAGGTTACTGGGGGCCTCGGTCGTCCCACCTGTGTCATGAGGCTGCCCCCTCAACATTCTTCCCTCATGCCTGGCCTGGCTGGGAGTGTGCTGTGCAGGATGGAAACTGTGAGGCAGTAGCTGGCCACCAGCAACTCAAAATACACACTTCCTCCTTGGCAGCCAGGCGGCTAAAGGGCTCTGACTAGACAATCCCCCAGTGTTCCCTGGAGCCTTTTGGCTGTGGGGCTGGGCTGGGTACTTGCTCATCTGGGAGGAGGCCCAGGGAGCAGTGGAGATCCCATGGGGGAGGGAAGGTGCCGTGGAGAAGTGTGCATTGATGTGGGAGGCCTCCCACATGTGTATCTAAGCAAGAAGCCAGACCTGCCCAGCTCTGGGGAAGGAAAATAAACTCTGGAAACCTATTTTTAGAAAGTGGCAAACCCCTGTTTCTCAGCAAGCAGTGGAATTTAATCTAAAACTTGCTTCTTTATTGAAGGAACCACTGTACTGCATGTAGGAATGGAACTGTGGTGAGGGGTGGTGTCTGTTAACTGGTGCCTGCTTACCTTCCATGTTGCTGGGCTTGCTCAGGGCTACTCTGGAAGGCTCTGTAGGAATTCTGGAACAGCCTTCATGGTGGCAGTGATGATGGTGATGGAGATGACAGTAATGATGGTAACAGTTGTGGTTATGATGGAAGTGATGGTGATGGTGGTGGTGATGGCTAAGACTTGTGCTAGACATATACTTGACAGATGTGGTCTCATTCAGTCCTTACAACCATGAGGCAAGTATGGTTCACTCCCATTTTTCCAGATCAAGAAAGTGAGGCTCAGAGACATTAAGTCACACAGCCAACAATAATAGGGCTAGGATTCAAACCCAGTAACCACGAAGACTGATCTGTATGAACCCATCACAAAAATCTCAGAATTGGAAGGGGTGACACTGAGCCCAGCTCCTGTCTCTTTCCTCGCCCAGAGCGCTCACCCAGTCTCTGCTTGGGCCTCCGTGGAGAAGGGAGCTCACACTGGTGTTCAGCTCTTCTCATTTGTGGTCATTTCTAAGTGCTCTAAAATTCCCTGTGTTGAGCTGCAATCTCTCTTCAGGTAGCCTCCATGGCTCCACAGATCGGTTAGGACAGCCCTTTCCGCTCTGGAGGCAGCTCTCATAGCCTCGCAAGTCCTGTTCTTTATAGGTTCAGGATGTCAGTCCTTTCAGGCCGCGTCTGCTACTTATAAAGCCTTGCAGGGTCACTGTGGAATCTGGCTTTGAGCAGCATACACTTAGAACAAATTTCCCTTTGAAGGTGGATCTGATTTCTAGAAATAGCAAATGGTCATTTGGAAGCAATATTGAATTAAGGTGAATGATTCAGCTGGGGAAAATTTTGGTTTAAGAGATAACACTGAGTGATTTTTAAATCTGGCCCAAACTGGCACTGAAAATAGTTATTCCTGGAGAAAATTTACAAAACCTAATTTAAACAATAGCAAAATTATTAGAGGTAATGTAGAGCCTCCAAAGGCAAGCAGATCTCAGTTCTCTGAGAGCAGGCACATCCCAATATAGACAAAAAATTCAAGCTGCCCCCTATAAATATTGGCAGGCTTGTAATAATTTATGACATGACTGGGAAGGGACACCAGTTTGTGCTGCATTGTGTCATGACTGAAATGTGACTAGAGATTTAAAATGGTGAAACCATGTCCGTCCCCAGCTGTGGGCCTTGCCCTGCTGGAGGGCACTCCTGCTCGGTAGAGCCAAGTCCTGGACTTGCCACTGAAGCCTGGTTACCACTCCAGTGACAACCACAACTTCAAAGGAGTGCCAAGGAGCAGATGGGGCCATTCCCTGGTGAACGCATTTAGCTGGTGTGTGTGTGAGTCCTGCACACAGGGGTGCTGGAAACCACGACTGTCAATTCCAGATCCAGAACCAAGTCCCAAGGTGGGTGGGGTTGTAGCCTAAGGACCGGCTTTGAACTGGATCCTCTAAGGCAGAGGTCACATGCAGCAGATTCAAGGAACCCCAGCCCGGCTGAAGGGCCCTCCTCAGACCTGGTGACACAGCCTGCTTCCCTTTCCTCTTTCAAGTGCTGTGCAGGCCCCTGGAATGCTCTTTCTGCTGAGCCTGACTTCGAAATGACATAGTCTTCACCTGTCTTTCCTTCTCATCCCCGAAGACAAGCCCCTGTTCCCTATCAGCTGAAGCGTTAACTACAGATCAGGGACAAGACACAGCAAACCGGGGACAGAGCACGAGAACAGCAAAGGTTGTAACTCCATGGAGGACAAGACAAGGTCTGTAGAGGAGAAGGTGGTAGTTGTGATGACATTGAGGAAGGTTGGTCCTCTCCATGCGCAGAAGGGCTACTGGAAGGCCTGCACCTGGCGCAGATTGGGCAGCCTCACAGAAGGTGCCAGAAGCAAAGAGTGTGCAGCCCATGCAACCAGGGCAGGGACCCAGTAACCCCCAAGAGGCCCTAATGAAGAGGAGAGAAGCTGCATCTTCTCATCTGTCTGGATATAGTGATAAGATTTAGCATCACTCACAGTGTTTAGCATATGGAAAGGACACATTTTCTGAATGAGTGAATGAGTATTTCCATAGCCAGCACCATTTGGTGTACCTCCTAAGCTTTACAAATTAAGACAAGTTTCCAATTCAGCTCACTTGGTCTATAAGATTGGACTGGACCATAAAGGGCCTTATAGGAAGTGGCACTAACTCAAGGATTGTGAATTCAGAGGTGCATGGTCAAGGTGCCCTGAGCTCTGACTTTTGAGAGCCAGTCCAGGGGCAAGGCTCTTCTGCACATAGCAGGCCCTACACGGGAAGGCCCTCCCTGGGCTGTCCTCCTCTTTGAAATTGGTCTTCACAAGGCAGAGGTTATTTCCCCCAAATTCAAAATGCTTAAACACCAAACAAACGGTCAAATAAAAAGACATATTTTGTCTTATTTCATGGACCAGGAGACCTGCAAAATAGGAAAACTAGTTGTAAGCATAAAAGAACCCTGTAGCATTGTCATCCCAGTAAGTACTTAGGGAGGTGGATTTGAGGAGGAATTAAGTAATTGTGTAAAGCCCACAGAGACCTGAACGCATACTCGGTAACAAGGGCAAGGCTCTTGCTGCGTGTCTCATACTTCAGGGGTGTATACCACAGAAAAAGAATCAGAGAGTGCCAAGGATGGAAAGCAGCCAGTCACCTGGAAGCCAGTACGCACACACGTGCAAGCGCGCACGCACGGAGTGCCCAGCAATCTGGAGCCTCTGCACCTGCGCATGGATTCCTTGTCCATTCAACCCCGCCCCTCAAAGGTATTTCCAGGACTTAGGTTACTACCCTTGGCTGCTCTGATTCACACACAAATACTCAGAGAGTGGTTTATGAAGTGTGACCTGTTGACCAATGACTAAGTTTCATTAGCCTTAGCTTTCAAATGTGAATTCTTACCTATGACCCTGGGCTCAGACTGCCACAGCTACTACCTTTATGGTGAGCCGGATACGTGGGGGGAGTGGTCACAGAATCCCCAACGAAGGCACGGAGCTCGTTGCTCCAGCACCCAGAGAGCAGACCCAGCAAAACTAGGGTGGGTTTCCCCTCGGAAATGCTCCCTGAGTCTCATAAATTTTAGTCAGCTGGGGAAACAGGTGACTTCAAGGACCTGGCAGAAGCAGTGGGGGTCAGGAAGTCCTACATAGAACTTAGCCAGTGAGGCAACCAGGATTCCTCCTGACTCAGCACTGCCCTTGATCTTTGTTTCCCCAAAGCAGAAGGGCTTGTACAGGGAGCCCGTGGCAGACAGATCTATGGATTTGCCAAGGACCAGGGGGCAAAAAGCAGTGCTCGGAGGGTGTCCCAGGGTAGCACAATTCTCTAGTTGGGGTGGGTCTTGCTCTCACCTCCTGCTCATCAGGGTGATTTATGGGTCTCTCCACCCAGGTTAGAGGATATTGTGTTTGCTGGTTAGGCTTTCTTGGTTGTTCCTGGAAATCAGCATGTTCCCGTTTTTAGCTCACTGTTGAATAGAAAGTTCATATAGTTAAGATGATTAGAAAGCAGGTTGACAGGGTTGAAGACAGCATGTCAGTACCGTGCCAGAACCACGTGGGGCAGGCTCGCTCTGGCTCCGGGGTCATTGGTGGCTCCCCACAAGAACAGTAACCAGGAGGGAGAGTGAGCCGGCAGGCCAAGGCCTTGACTGGCATTTCCTCAGACTTACGAATTTGCAATGTGTAGGAAAGTTTTGTTTTCTCTTTTTGAATAAAAACAGACATCTTAAAGGACTGCTTAAAGGCTGACCATTTTTGTGCTGAAAAGTGCAGGACAGGAAGTGCCTTTAGGTCATCCACCAGTGGCTGGTCTTTTCTCTAGTGCAAAGGGTTTTCCCCCAACACTGCTTTTGCTCTTAGAAAAGTGGGTGATTTTGGCTGGGATGGAAAGCAGGAGCTGGGGAGGACTGTGGTCAGCAAGAGGTGGCAGGTCGACGTGTTCCTGGCAGGCCCGTGCACCCATGGTCCTCTGCTTTAAATTTAGTTTGAATTCCAGTTTTCAGAGAACACGGCAACTTGGAGCCTTGCCTCTCTTCTCTCAGCTATCTGAAAGCAGGGCTTGTCCAGCGAGCAGATTAGAAAAGGATATGGGAACTTGTTCCCCATACTTTAAAGCAGGGAAAAAGCCTTTTGTGAAGGGAAGAAACAAAACCTGTTTGGTGACTTGTCATTTCAATGAAAACATAAGCCTTTCACAGGTGAGCCTTCCCCCGCCACACCTCCCCTTCTTTCTGCCATCCACGTGGGGATCGCAGGCAGGGGCAAGAAGAAAAACAGAAGGCAAGCTCTGTACCTTCAGAGAACACGATGATTTGATGACAAACATGTAAGAACCCAAGGGAGAAGTTTAGGGGAAAAAAAGTTTATTCAACTTGTCAGGGCAATAAAATACACAGAGTAACAGTGCTTCATTCTGCCACCTCCATGAGGAAAACAGCACAGCAGTTACAGGTTTCTTGATAACAGTAAATTGTTTTCATATTTATCTTATTTCTCTTTCTTCATTCCTCTTGAACAAACATAATGAAACAATTTCTTAGATCACCTAAGGTGGGTGGGGTTGTAGCCTAAGGACCGGCTTTGAACTGGATCCTCTAAGGCAGAGGTCACATGCAGCAGATTCAAGGAACCCCAGCCCGGCTGAAGGGCCCTCCTCAGACCTGGTGACACAGCCTGCTTCCCTTTCCTCTTTCAAGTGCTGTGCAGGCCCCTGGAATGCTCTTTCTGCTGAGCCAGACTTCGAAATGACATAGTCTTCACCTGTCTTTCCTTCTCATCCCCGAAGACAAGCCCCTGTTCCCTATCAGCTGAAGCGTTAACTACAGATCAGGGACAAGACACAGCAAACCGGGGACAGAGCACGAGAACAGCAAAGGTTGTAACTCCATGGAGGACAAGACAAGGTCTGTAGAGGAGAAGGTGGTAGTTGTGATGACATTGAGGAAGGTTGGTCCTCTCCATGCGCAGAAGGGCTACTGGAAGGCCTGCACCTGGCGCAGATTGGGCAGCCTCACAGAAGGTGCCAGAAGCAAAGAGTGTGCAGCCCATGCAACCAGGGCAGGGACCCAGTAACCCCCAAGAGGCCCTAATGAAGAGGAGAGAAGCTGCATCTTCTCATCTGTCTGGATATAGTGATAAGATTTAGCATCACTCACAGTGTTTGGCATATGGAAAGGACACATTTTCTGAATGAGTGAATGAGTATTTCCATACCCAGCACCATTTGGTGTACCTCCTAAGCTTTACAAATTAAGACAAGTTTCCAATTCAGCTCACTTGGTCTATAAGATTGGACTGGACCATAAAGGGCCTTATAGGAAGTGGCACTAACTCAAGGATTGTGAATTCAGAGGTGCATGGTCAAGGTGCCCTGAGCTCTGACTTTTGAGAGCCAGTCCAGGGGCAAGGCTCTTCTGCACATAGCAGGCCCTACACGGGAAGGCCCTCCCGGGGCTGTCCTCCTCTTTGAAATTGGTCTTCACAAGGCAGAGGTTATTTCCCCCAAATTCAAAATGCTTAAACACCAAACAAACGGTCAAATAAAAAGACATATTTTGTCTTATTTCATGGACCAGGAGACCTGCAAAATAGGAAAACTAGTTGTAAGCATAAAAGAACCCTGTAGCATTGTCATCCCAGTAAGTACTTAGGGAGGTGGATTTGAGGAGGAATTAAGTAATTGTGTAAAGCCCACAGAGACCTGAACGCATACTCGGTAACAAGGGCAAGGCTCTTGCTGCGTGTCTCATACTTCAGGGGTGTATACCACAGAAAAAGAATCAGAGAGTGCCAAGGATGGAAAGCAGCCAGTCACCTGGAAGCCAGTACGCACACACGTGCAAGCGCGCACGCACGGAGTGCCCAGCAATCTGGAGCCTCTGCACCTGCGCATGGATTCCTTGTCCATTCAACCCCGCCCCTCAAAGGTATTTCCAGGACTTAGGTTACTACCCTTGGCTGCTCTGATTCACACACAAATACTCAGAGAGTGGTTTATGAAGTGTGACCTGTTGACCAATGACTAAGTTTCATTAGCCTTAGCTTTCAAATGTGAATTCTTACCTATGACCCTGGGCTCAGACTGCCACAGCTACTACCTTTATGGTGAGCCGGATACGTGGGGGGAGTGGTCACAGAATCCCCAACGAAGGCACGGAGCTCGTTGCTCCAGCACCCAGAGAGCAGACCCAGCAAAACTAGGGTGGGTTTCCCCTCGGAAATGCTCCCTGAGTCTCATAAATTTTAGTCAGCTGGGGAAACAGGTGACTTCAAGGACCTGGCAGAAGCAGTGGGGGTCAGGAAGTCCTACATAGAACTTAGCCAGTGAGGCAACCAGGATTCCTCCTGACTCAGCACTGCCCTTGATCTTTGTTTCCCCAAAGCAGAAGGGCTTGTACAGGGAGCCCGTGGCAGACAGATCTATGGATTTGCCAAGGACCAGGGGGCAAAAAGCAGTGCTCGGAGGGTGTCCCAGGGTAGCACAATTCTCTAGTTGGGGTGGGTCTTGCTCTCACCTCCTGCTCATCAGGGTGATTTATGGGTCTCTCCACCCAGGTTAGAGGATATTGTGTTTGCTGGTTAGGCTTTCTTGGTTGTTCCTGGAAATCAGCATGTTCCCGTTTTTAGCTCACTGTTGAATAGAAAGTTCATATAGTTAAGATGATTAGAAAGCAGGTTGACAGGGTTGAAGACAGCATGTCAGTACCGTGCCAGAACCACGTGGGGCAGGCTCGCTCTGGCTCCGGGGTCATTGGTGGCTCCCCACAAGAACAGTAACCAGGAGGGAGAGTGAGCCGGCAGGCCAAGGCCTTGACTGGCATTTCCTCAGACTTACGAATTTGCAATGTGTAGGAAAGTTTTGTTTTCTCTTTTTGAATAAAAACAGACATCTTAAAGGACTGCTTAAAGGCTGACCATTTTTGTGCTGAAAAGTGCAGGACAGGAAGTGCCTTTAGGTCATCCACCAGTGGCTGGTCTTTTCTCTAGTGCAAAGGGTTTTCCCCCAACACTGCTTTTGCTCTTAGAAAAGTGGGTGATTTTGGCTGGGATGGAAAGCAGGAGCTGGGGAGGACTGTGGTCAGCAAGAGGTGGCAGGTCGACGTGTTCCTGGCAGGCCCGTGCACCCATGGTCCTCTGCTTTAAATTTAGTTTGAATTCCAGTTTTCAGAGAACACGGCAACTTGGAGCCTTGCCTCTCTTCTCTCAGCTATCTGAAAGCAGGGCTTGTCCAGCGAGCAGATTAGAAAAGGATATGGGAACTTGTTCCCCATACTTTAAAGCAGGGAAAAAGCCTTTTGTGAAGGGAAGAAACAAAACCTGTTTGGTGACTTGTCATTTCAATGAAAACATAAGCCTTTCACAGGTGAGCCTTCCCCCGCCACACCTCCCCTTCTTTCTGCCATCCACGTGGGGATCGCAGGCAGGGGCAAGAAGAAAAACAGAAGGCAAGCTCTGTACCTTCAGAGAACACGATGATTTGATGACAAACATGTAAGAACCCAAGGGAGAAGTTTAGGGGAAAAAAAGTTTATTCAACTTGTCAGGGCAATAAAATACACAGAGTAACAGTGCTTCATTCTGCCACCTCCATGAGGAAAACAGCACAGCAGTTACAGGTTTCTTGATAACAGTAAATTGTTTTCATATTTATCTTATTTCTCTTTCTTCATTCCTCTTGAACAAACATAATGAAACAATTTCTTAGATCACCTGTATGAAAAACATCTCCACTAAGTCCCCTGAAAGGTCAAATTCCTCATAGCCAGAGCTGTGGGAATTTAATAAAAAGAAGACATTTCTGATTTTTTACAAATAAAAAGGTCAACTCTAAGGTTCCCTAGGCCTCACTTGTCACCTCCATTAAGCTCTTCATATACGTGGGTTTCCAGTGGGGAGCCTATGTTGGGAGCCACCCATCTGGAAAGTGGAGTGAAGAAACTTCTGTTGTCAAAAGTCAGCTTGTGTGGTGGAGAGGCGCAGGGATTTGCTTAAGCTGAGCCCTCTGCTGTGAGATCCAGAGACATAGGAGGGACACCCTCCCCCCCCCACACCTCATGCCTTTTTTCCACAACAAGCATTATAAGAGGATGGTGTGAGCTGGGGAGAGATAAAGATCAGAATTTCTATCAGTCTTGTAAAGATAAGTATGTATACCAGGAACCAAATCTGGGAACAGAGAGGAGGAACTGGCAGAGGCTGTTTCCCTGGCAACTGCCAAGTATAACTTTGGCAGATGAGAGACTCAAATTTGGCCCTTTGTACATACCTTCCTAAAATCAAAGGAGAACTTCTTTATCCTGATTTTTAAATATTAAGATAAAGAGTCTCATGAAAATGGAGACTTATTTACAAGTATCACTTGAAAAAAAATCTGGGCTCTCAAGATTGATCTTTCCTTTTCATTACAATTTTGCTTTGAAATATGGTCTTTAAAATCCCTCTGAAGATGGCCCTTTCAGAATGCCCTATCATGCAGCTATGGCAAGAAAGCAAATGCCCCTCAGCAAGCTAGATGTTTTTGCTGATACTCACACATACAAGTTAATTAGCAGCTATAATTTGAACCATGTACAAAACATATGGCTTTAATATGGGAATTTTGGGTACAAGAAATAACCAGCATAACAATCAGTATAATAATGAATAAATAGGTAGAAGAAATTATGAATAAATAGAAGGATATAGCCATTTAAAATAATTGAGAGTAAGTACAAAATGCAAAACTGAAGTTGTTTATACTTCAGATAAGTCTCTAAATTTATTTTTCAAAAATGTAATTTTGAAACCTGATACACTAATATATAGGCAACTTGACCTTAATCATAATGAAGTCATAGGATAAGATAAAAAGAAATAATTCTCATATAAAGGATATTTAAAATGTTAGCCTTATCAAGACCCTCTATTTTTAAACACTGTGTATGGCATCTCATTTTGAAAAAAGGTAATACAGCCTTCAAGAATCTTTTAAACAAATTCAATATAAAGAGGAGTAAAATAAATGCTATCTTTAAAACCTGTAAAATCAAAGCACCTAAATTAATACCATTAATAATCTATGACATTATTTCAGGAGGACCAGGGCTTGATGAGACACTACATACTGTAATTACAGGGGAAAACTTTACAATCATTGTAACTTACAGAAAATTGAATACTATGTAAAACATCCTTCACAATACATTTAAAAGTCTAAATTTAAATCATACTCAACAAGAAAGAACAAGAACAGATTCTATGACAGTGGCTAAGACAATGACAACGGGCATTGCTTCTAAGTGGAGCCCTCCCCAGGCTATTTTTAGAAGTTTAAAGACTCCAGCCTTCAAAGGTTTTGATAATAGTGCTGGTAGTTACAACTCAGCATGTAAGGTGGAGTCTGGGAGAAAACCAGTTCTTTTCATGCTGGGTAACCTAGTTTTTTCCCTTTTAACTTAATCCTGAGATCTCCTGAAACAGGGGATCTTAAGACGCTTTGGTTTCCTTCTATTTACTGCCTACCTTGGAACATGTAAAATCAAGTCGGTGATAAATTAAAATTAGGTTAAAATTAGCTGATACATTAAGTCTTTAAAATGTTCTTTACTAGAAAAGGAACTATCTTGTTTATCTGGAAGCTTATTTGGAATATTACTTTAATTGGGAACAGAACAACACATTGCTGAGGAAAAAGCACTTTGGAGATGTGCTTTAAAAGGCTTCTAAATATTAGGAAGTAACAATTTCTGTGTCATCCATCACAATGCTGAGACAGTCCACTGTATCTACTAATAGAATAGGAAGTGCTTGCATCCTGTAATTACTTAGTAGGGTTTTAAGAAGTTTATACATATGTAATAACAAATGTGTGTGCACACATACGATACCTATATATGTATATGTTAACGTTTCTATAAACAGATGTCCATGTTTACACACGTTCTTACACGTATCTCCCAGGAACACAGACCCTGTAGTCTGATGAGACTTACTTTCTTAAACTTACCACCTTTCCCAAAGTCAACCTTTCTGTCCGACTCTATAGTAAATCATATTCTAAAAGTTTCAGTTCAATTTTCAATTAAAAAAAAACTGGGCAAGCCCAATCATATCAAGAAAAAACGGGCTATTTACTCTTCAAAAACAAAAAACCAGAGAAGTATTTTAAGATGTGAAAATTTAACAAGCATTTCTTTTTGTTTCCTAAAGGAGGGGAACATCCCTTAGAGAACTGAGTGTAATAGATATAAACTGGCCTTCACTTAATGTACGCGGGACAAAGGGCTAGCTTGGAGCCTCAAGAATAACAGCCAGACCCCATCTCCTACATCCAGACAATACACGGCGTTCACGTCACAGAAACCTGTGCGACCCCAAGGTGACTGCCCGAGTCCTTGAGAGAAGCCAGACAAGGTGGGGCGGGGCTCTGACAGCCGCCGCTCCCCCGGGGACGCGCCCGCCCCCCCCAGTCCTCGCCGGGCCGCCCTCTGCGCGCACAGCGCGGGTCGCAGAGACGCGCCCGTGGCCGCGGCCCCGCCGTGTCTCGTCACGAGTTCTTCTTCAGGAGGCCGAGCTTGCGCAGGGCCTCCCTGCGGGCTTCCTCGGTGGCGCCGCGGCCCGCGAACTGGACGGTGACGCCCTGGGGCCGCACGCCCACCGCCCTGGGGAGCGAGCCCGCCCGCCTGCGCGCGTCCTGGCCGCAGTCGGGCTGCCGCGGCGCGTCCAGGCTCTTGCTGGCGTTCTGGAGCGCGAGTTTCCCCGCGGGGGCCGCTGTCGGCCGGAAGGCGACAGTTTTCCCGGCGGAGGCGAAGGCCCCGGGCTGGCTCCTCAGGGCGTCGTGGATGCTCGGGCAGCCGTTGGCCAGCGGCGGGGCCTGCTCCGTCTGCACCGCCCGGGACTGCCGCCCGCCGCTGCGCCCCTCGGCAGGCGCGGGCGCCGCCTCCCGGACCGGGGCTGGCCCGCTGGTGCCACGCGGACCCTGCTCCGCGCCGACGCTGCCCGTCTGCTCCGAGGGGCCGCCCTTAAGGGCGCGGCCTGCCAGGTCTCTCGTGGAGAGGAAAGAGACCCCGTTAATGTTGGCCAAGACGCGGGCTTTGCGCTCCTGCACGTTGACGGCCGCCTTGGAGATGGTCTTGTTGAAGTCCTTCCCCGCGCTGTTGGTCACGCTGATGTTGCTCGGGAAGCGGTGAACCTTGGGCACAGGCGGGGCCACGTGTCTGTGCCACAGGAAGTGGTCTCCCGGCCCGGGACCCCCCAGAGCCAGCGTCCTCCATTCCCCAGGCCGACCGTCCTTAGAGGGCGACGTGTGCAACAGCGCTTCGCGTCCCGCCAACTTCTCAGATATCTTCTGGGCAATGACGAGTGGGGTAGGGACCGACCGAGGCAGTTTCGGGTGCTCTGCGGGAGGAGAAGGAGGGGGCAACTCTTTCCTGGGGTGGGCTGGGGCCAGAGGCAGCGGCAGGGTCTGTGGAACCGGGGGGTCTGGCAGCGGAGGACTCTCAGCACCTTGCTTCCTGCACAAGAAGAGAGGAACGTCTTCCTTTCCAACAGACTCAGCCCCTGAAAAGTAGGGAGAATCCTCGTAAGTTACCACCTCATGTAAAAATAAAGGCAGTACATTACCTCTTCTCAGATTTTAAAAGGATCTCAGGGGGACATAATACCAATTTCCACAGTACCTCCTGTAAGCTGTAACCCTTTATCCCTGTGTCTTGGACTAGTCAAAGAGAAGGCAGGGCATGGTTCTCATTGGCACTGGGTGAGGAGTGAGTCAGTGATGGTGAGACGCTTACAAGTCAGGGATGTGAGTCAGTACCTGGGACTCAACACTGGAAAGCAAGCTTCTAAGGACCCATCATCAGGAGGTGTGGAACAGGGGGGGATAGTAACTCACCTTATCAGGGGTTTTACCAAGGGGAAACAGGCGGGAAAGTAGTGTGGCACATTACCAAACAAATCCATCAGGTCTTTCTAGGTGAAGGCTAGCTGGATGTGTCCTCTCACTGGCCTCCACGAGTCAGAAGTGGTTCCTGACAGCCAGGTGGAATTGCATGCAAGTGTCTTTGAGCCTTTACTATATCCTTAGCACATAATCAATTGCAGATCACCTAGCACTTTTCTGTACTTACATTTATACACCTGTCTCCTGCTGCAAAACTAAGCCATGTCTTATCTTTGAATCCTCAGAACCCCATCCAATGCCTGCCACCAAGTGGGCACTTAAAATTGATATGAAATTATCATGTTAGATAATTGATAGGCAAGGCGGCAACTTTCAAAAAATGTTCTCCTTGGTACACTTAAATGATCTGACACTTTTAAAGGATCAGTTGGTCCAAATTTATTTTAGTAACTCTACTTCAAAGAAGTGATAAAATGGGAAATTCATAGTAAGTTTTCTTTGAAGAGATGGCTGCTAACTAAGCTCCATATATATAATCTGTAGTATATGAAATTGTAATACACAGCCCTGCTTAAAAAGAAAACACATTTGCCCACATTGGCAAACACAGGGGAACAGAAGGAAGTGCCTGTGTGTCTTATGTGACACTAGTGAGCTTGGTCAGAGGCCTGGGACATGTGCTTTACACCTCACCTGCTGCTTCAGTCTCATCCAGAGGGCACTCGGGGCCCCCCACTGAAGGTCCTGGCTGCACTAAATCGATGACATCTTCTGGCTCAGAATGACTGTAAGTGCTCTCTTCCAGAGACCAAGGAAAGTGGCAGTGTACCCCACTGTCACACAAGACCTGTTCCTCAAAGTCATCTTCCAGGGAGTCAATTGTCTCTTCAAAAAACATAATGACATCCTTTTCCTCATGTGTGAGGTACTTCAGGCTCTCATCATCCTACACAACAGGTTTGGGGATTGGGAAAGGAAAAAAATGAAATAAATGGTGGCTTTGCTGAAAGGAAAAAAAAACCACGACAAAGTTGGGATCCATACAGAGCCCTGGAATTGTTCACACACTCTGGAGTTTCCCCTTAGGGAGAGTCTGCCTCTCGCGTTACCACCCCCGCCCTCCCCCAACTGTGCCTGTTTATGCTTCAGCATTTTACCCGCCCTACCAAAAAGGTGGAGCTGATAGAGGATCTGAGAACCTGTAGCTGGCTCTAGCTGTGGTTCCTAGCGAGTCAGAAAGCTGCTCTTCTCAGGGCTGCCTTGGCAACGCTGTTTGCAGCGTTCTGCCCTCATACTTACTTGTTTTCCCATAACAGGTACTGGGGGTGGCGGGGGGAGTCTGGCTGGTGAATGGAGTTAACTCACATATTCATCTCCTCTGTCCAGAAACCTCACTAAAACAGTAATGGGACTTACTATTTTTTTAAAGGCACAAGTCACTAAGACAAAGTAATAGGAAAAGAGATGAAAGCAACAACATTTGGGAAGTTAAATAGCAGGAAGACAGATGTCATTATCTCAGAAGATCCAAGGAAGTTGAATTTCAGTCAGCAGTTGGGGCAAGTCAGTATCAACCTGCTGAGACGGGAGCCCCCCTGAGGCTCAGGCAGTGGGGTGCTGAGCAATCCTGGAAGTGTGGCGAAGAGCAGAATGGGTTGAAAGCCTCCTGTAGAAGCAATTAAGTCACCTTGGCAGAAAACTAGATGTTTTTTTCTTGAAGAAGGTAAAAGAGATATGAAGGGGGGACAACAAGCAGAGTTGATGAGGGGCCATATTGAACATGGGGGTTAAATGAACCAAATTGATACCTTCTGGACAGAAGATTGGAAGTCTTTTCTAGGGAGTCCGAATGAATGGTCCATGGGCCAAAAGAGGCTGACACCACAGGTTCCCCAATGAAACATCTCAGCAAGATTACAGTGAAGATCACAGTCAACAAACCCCTACATAGAATTTTTAATAAATTTCCTAACATCCTGCTCTTATATATGTGCATATATCTGATCATCACCAGGCAGTTGAGAAAACCTTTATCAAAACAAACAAAAAGAAAGCAACTTACAAACTATGCGGAATGATTCAAGTTTCAAAAAGATTATCATTAATATCCTCAGAGATAAGAGGAAATATTGAATCACTAAATAAGAATATATTCTTTTTAAAAACTTGAAGACAAAAAAGAGATTTTAGAAACTAAAACAATGAGAGCAGAAATAAAAAACTGAACTAAAGCCTAGAAGGTAAAGTAGAAAAAGTCCAAAAAAAATTTTTTTAATGGAAAAGAGAAGAAAATTAGAGGATAAGTGTGGGAGGGCCAATATATGAATAATGAGTGTTCCAGAAAGATAAAGCAGCACAAAGGGAAACGAATTATCAAAGTAAATGAGTAAAATAATTCAAGGTAATGTCCCTAAACAGAAGTACTTGAGTTCCTACATCGAAAGGGGCCAACAGAATAACCAAATGAATGAAAATAAAATCAACCTATGCATCATTGTGAAATTTCAGTATGTTGAAGATCAAGGTTCTGAAAGTTTCCCAGAGTGAGAAGCAGGTCATATTACAAAAAATCAGGAATCAGAGCAGCAATAGACTTCTCCTCATCAATATCAGAAACTAGAAGCCAATGCTGTGATTCTTTCAAAGTTCTAAATGAATTCAGAACTAGAATGCACAACCTAACAAATTAAGATTAGGGTAGAATAAAGATGTTTTATAGACATGTGAGGTCTAAACAACAGATCCCCCTCCTACACCCTCCCAGGAAGCTGCTGCATGGTACTGGGGGAGTACAGCTATTCCCCCAGACAGGGGAGTTAGTCAGTATCAACCTGCTGAAGACCAGAAACAGGAGCAAATAAAAGAAAGCTGAAGGGCATCCTGGCATAATGGTGACATCCACAGGATGTCAGGTGTGCGGTGAACAACCAGCCTAGTTCAGAGGAGGCCAGACGGCTCCACAGAGGGCAAAGCAAGCAAGCAAAGCCAAAGCAATTATAAACCACAGAAAAACTAAAGTCATGAGAGAAAACATGTCATGTGTGAATCGGTTTACTTATAGCAATATACACACAGACACACACACATCACTGTGTGTACACATACAGATATATTAATTGTATTAGTTATAGTAGCAAGAAAACAAGCAAAACAAGAGACAACATAGAATGTCCAATAGTGAGGGAACAGCTAAACAAATGGCACAGCACAGATGGATTATACAGACATTTTAATGGTGTTTTCAAAACAATATAATGCTAAGTAAAAAAAAATGCAGCCAGAAAAATATGGTTGTCTTGGTTTGACTTAAATATATGCCTTCTTAATATATATAAACACATACAAAAAAGTGCTGAAAGGATATATAGTAAAGTTATCTTAGTGGGGCAATATGAAGATAATTGATATGAACAAAGAAACAGGCATGAGTTAGAAGTTGCCTCTAGTGAGTAAAAAATGTGGGGAGGGGTACATGGAAGACTAATGCTTTTCATATATTTATATAAAACTGTTTGACACTCTAAACATGATTTTTGATGAAACGACAAAAAATGATAGAAGCAAGGGTGATTAAGAGCTGATCTATCTGGTGAAGGTAAAGCTTTTCATGCTGTGATCTGAGAAGTAGTTAAATGCCATCTACCCCAAAGCATCTCCTCCCAGGCTCATCACAAAGCCTGTGGTCTCCACAATTTTCGAGACCTTTCTTTGGTTTAAGGCACAGTATACATTTGTTTTTGGTATGATTAATGCAAGAATGCATGCAAATTTCTCAAACTAGCCTGGCCATATTAGCTTAATCTGAAGGAAGGATGCCTTGGGGAAGGACACTATCTATACACAGGTTCAGTAAATAGATGTATAGAATATTTCTACAGAAAGATATCTAGAGCATGGGTCAGGCAAGCAGATGGAACAGAATGCTGCCAGGGAGAACCAGCCTTGTATGTCCACTGGCTATAAACCTATATACAACTGCTGAGTCATAAGGCAGGGTCTGCTTTGGTGGATATGGCCAATAGTTCTCCAAAGTGGTTGTACTGACTTACATTCCCACCAGCAGGGCTACTTGGTCTCCAGCTGGGTATGACGGGGTGTGCAGTGTCTCCTGATTTTCAATCCATTCCCAAGGTGACTTAACAGTGTTGGGCATCTTTTTTCATAATACTTAAACTAGCCATTTGGAGATCCTCTTATGAGGTGTCTATTTAAGTCTTTCACCTATTTTCTATCAAGTTGTCTTTTAAAAGATAATCTATAGGATATACCAGATACAAATCTTTTGTTGGATATATTTATTGCAAACTATCTTCCACTCACTTGGTTGCTTCTTCTCTCTCTGAATGTGGGTCCTTGGATGACTAGTTCTTCATTTTAATGTTGTACCATGTTATCAGTCTCCTTTTTCATGGGTAGAGCTTTTTGTGTCCTATTTAAGAAACCACTACCTACTCCATGGTCATGAAGATATTCACCTGTGTTTTGTTCTAGAAGCAATACTGTTCTTAACCTTCTCATTTAATGCTGCAATTCTTCTGGAACGTGTGTGTGGTGTGAGGTCAAGATTCAGTTTTCTAAATTGATACCATTGTTCTAGCACCACTCCTTGAAGAGAAAGAATGTCCTTTCTCCACTGAAGGTCTCCTTGGTTGTTAAGTGAGTTTGACAATACACATGTCAGCCTGTTTCTGGACTTCTTTTCTGTTTGTCTATTCATTTGTATACCGGAAAGTTTTAATTATTATAACTTTATAATAAGTCTTGGTATCTGGTAGTTTAAAACCCTTCAGTTTTGCTCTTCTAAGTTTGTGCTAGCTTTTATTGACTCTTTTTATATGAATTTTAGTATCAGCTTGTCAGCTTCTATATATGCACATATATACACACACCCGGGCTGGAACTCTGGGAGCGCACAGAAATTCCTCAAATTGAGGAGAACTGATGTTTACAATATTTTTTGAATCCACAGGTATGGTATACACTTTTATGTATTTAGATTAGTGGCTCTCAAAGTGTGGCCCTTTGACCAGAGCCGCACATGGAATTTGTAGAAATACAAATTCTCCAGCCTCATCTCAGTGTGACTGACTCAGAAACTTTAAGGGGTGAGCCTTCAATCTGCATTTCAACATAGCGTCTGCATAATACTCATGAACTAAAGGTTGACAGGCATTGATTTGGTTCTTTAATTTCTGTAAACAGAATCCTGTAGTTTCCAGTGTGAGATTTACAGTTTTCAGTTTGGATCTTCTTAGGTATCTGTTGTTTTTGACACCATTATAAATGGTGCTATTTTTAAATTCTCTAACTGTTGCTGGTATATAGAAATACAAAGTACACTGACCTTGTAATAAGTAGATTTAACTACTTTAGATTATAGTAAAACTATAATTTACTATAAGTAAATTGTCTATTTAACAATAAATTGTTACTATATATAAACTAACAGTTTATCTACAGATTCTTTTCAGTCTTCTACATATACAGTGGTGTCTGCAAATGACAGATTTTTATTTTCTCCTTTCTGTTCCTTGTACCATTCATTCAATTTTTTACTCTGCCTTTTTGTACTGTCTGGGTTTTCCAATCAGCTAAACAGAAGTGGCATCTTTCTCTTGTTCCCAAATTCAGGGAGAAAGCTTTCACTATTTCACCATTAAGTATAATGTTTGATGTATGTTTTTAAAAAATGATCTTCATCAGGTTAAGAAAGTTTTCTTCTATTCCAAGTTTGCTAAGTGTGTGTGGTTTTTTTTTGAGTTTTGTTCAATGCTTTTTCTTCATTTACTGCTGTGGTTCTCAGTGGGGGTGATTTTACCTTCTAGGGGACATTTGGCAATGTTTGGAGATAGTTTTAGTTGTCATAATTAGGTGGGTGCAACTGGTGTCTGGTGGACAGAGGCCAGGAGTGGTGCTATGCATCCTGCAATGCACAGGATGGCTCAG